GGGAGTACAAAATGCATGCAACTGGTTTAGAGTGATAGAGTATGCAGCATAGGAAACAGTATATGTTTTTCATCTTTTGTAGGAAATCACTGTTTGGTTGGGGGGCTGAGAGAGTGTGTTCAAAATCACAGTTAGATCCGAGAATGGGTTTAGTGGTTTTTAGACGATTTCCTTCATAAAATGACACATCCGTATCTCTCGCACACTTAATTCACCAGTTGATTAGAGTTGCATATAATGAATGGGAACGTGCACTCCTCCACTCAGCTGCCAAACTGTGCAGCTGTGACGAGTGGGTGTCCTCCTGCTGATTGCATGCCACCGCTGTTGTGTTGTCTGATCTGACCAAAATGCAGTGTTTTCAGAGAAAGTGTGCAGAGTTTCAAAACCAAAAAAAACAGGAAGAATAATTCAAGGTCATTTATGTGTCCTTTGAAATTATGGGTGCCGTAAGCCCTTCACTCCTCTGCCCTCAAACTCAGCACCTCAGCGAATTAGTGTTCATGTTTAGCGACTTTTCTCTGTGAAACGGGACCTAGTTAGGTTACAGTTTTTAGAAACGAGGAGTCCTGCATGCAAGCTGAAGAACCTATCAGCTGCCAGTTGAGGTAAGGGTGGGCACACAAATGTTCTATTGCTGTCCAAACCCAGGTTTTGCAAAAACCCCTGGAGAATAACAGCTCATGTCCAAACCATTAGGCCCAACAGACGAAGGCACATCCTGAAGGTATCTGCTTGTCCCTTCCTCGTTCTGAGAGGGAGTGCAGAGAAGTGGATTGTCTAAATAAGCAGACACTCTAAAACCGACATTTCTCAAAGCCTCTTGTAACAACCAAGGGGCAAGTGAGAGCCCAAAAGCTATTGTTTGATATTTGTGAGTCCTGTGTCTCAGGCAAACCTAGGAAATGTGTTGTTTGCAGGTAAATGTCTATGTGAAAAAATGTGAACCAATCGGTGAGACAAATAATGTGAGACAATACTTTACAGATGTGGCTGAATATATGGAAGTCCATGCATCAATCTGGAGCACTTTGGGAGCAAAATTAAGAAGTGCATTCTCTTTTCAGTTACCAATGTGACGAGAAAAAAAAATGTTACCTGGACTTTAAAGTGGTCAGTTTTGTGGACTGTTATGATAATGTCTCAGTCTATATTATGTTCACACTATTATTTCTAGGAAGCCAAACGATTTGAGTACTAATATTATTATTAATATTAGCTCAGACAGAAATATATTGCTATGTAATACAACTGTGCTGTGAAATGGAAAAAAGTAGCTAGTTAAAATAAATTAACAATGAAAAATACTTCTAAAGCATTTATTAATCTTAGTCAAAGTTAATTTCACCATTTACTAATGCCTTATTCAAGTGAAAGGTGGTATCTGTTAATACAATTTAATGGACCTGGACCTGAACATGAACTAACAATGATCAGTTGTATTTTTATTGACTGTTAACAAAAATGAATAAATACAGTAACAAATGTCTTGCTCATTGTTAGTTATCATGTTAACAAATGGAACCTTATTGTAAAGTGTTACCAAAAGTACTTTATAATAATAAAATAACAATACATATGTATTAATTTCTTCACTTGCAAGAGTTAAACCCTCATGCTTTTAGCAGAAAACTGCAGGGAGACTTTAAAATTTCTGTGTTTACAAAACTTCTGTTCACAAAAAGTTAGAAATTATGTGACTTGGAAAATTAAGTGAACCAGGTGCATGGTGCCTTCCCAAATACTGTACGTGTTAAACTGGTAGCACATGCACAGATGAAGTTCACAGTGAAATGCTGAAAACACTGGATCATAAACTGCATCAGTGTAAATTAACACAGTGCCACGCTTCGTTCTGAAATGCAGAGTACAGACTTATTTATTTTGCAGCATTTTGTGATTTGATAAGCACACTGAGGTTCAGACTGCACTGAACATTTCCCATGGTGATATTGAACAAATATTAGGAGGACAAACATTCAGTTCTAATTCCTTTTTTATTTTAATTTATTATTTTTTTTCCCTTTATTGCATGAATCCTCAAATCTGGCTCACGAGATCCACTTTCCTGTAGAGTTTAGCTCCAACCCTGATCAAACTCACCTACCTATGATTTTCTAATGATCCTGAAAACATTGATTAGCTTGTTCAGGTGTGTTTGATTAGGGTTAGAGCCAAACTCTGCAGGAAAGTGGACCTCAAGGGCTATGATTTGGGGATCCCTGATTTATTGTGTTTGTAATGTTTTGCCAGTCATCACATCTATTGCTGATTTTTATAAACACATTTTTTTAGGGAAATGGCACTTGGGTCTCAACTGTGAAGACAGTGCTGACCACTGCCACCATCCTAACTCTCATGGCTTTGACTACTTCTATGGCACCATTATGACGCACCTTCGGGACTGCCAGCCTGGACATGGCTCTGTTCTATATTTCGTCCATGGTTACATCCCATACAAGGCCCTTAGTATTGGTCTAGTTTCCCTGGCGTTACTCCATATTAAAGGCATGATAACTGTGACCAGGAGGGTAGTTTTTGGTTTTCTGGTCCTGGTAGGGGTAGTGGTGAGTTTCTTTGGTGTGTTGGTGTACACATTCCCCAATCTAAATTGCTTTGTCATACGAGGGCCAGAGATTGTGGAGCAACCATATACATCAGAAAACCTCACACAAAGGATGACCAGTGAAGCCACAGAGTTTCTGGAAAGGTATGTGTCCACATTTTATCGTAATATTAAAGTGCGAAAAGCTTTTTTTCAGGGACTCGCTTTGAGCTTAACAAATGCAGTGACTGAATTAATATCAAGGGAAATTGTAAATCCATTTTGAAAGGTCTGTATTGAAAATGAAGGCCTTGCTTAAGCCTCTGCATTATTAACCCTCAATAGGTTAATAATGGTAGAGTTCACCCAAAAATGAAATTATGTTCTCCTTTTCATTCCAAACCTGTATTACTTACTTTTACTTTCAGTGTAAAAGGAGACATTTTGAAGAAAGTACAGATCACTCAAATAAATGCTAGAATCACTACAAAACTAAAATGGGAACCGATTTTAAAACACTCTAAATCATACACTTGGAAGTGGTTATAGGGAAAAACTGGGCATCATACACCGACTGAGGATCACACATTAGCGGTATTTTACGCTGTTTTAAAAAACAAACTCTTGCAGAAACCTGCACCTGGTTGCTAGATGCAGTATTTGTTCTAAAATATCAAAATATCTGCTTAAAATATGTTTGAAATCCTCTGACTGGATGGAATCATAGTCTGCAGCTAAAAACAAAAATCACAGTCTGTGCACATTATACACTAGGCGATTTTCTGTGAAATCTGTCAACTATGACTGACCAATAACTGCAGAGTGGTTGCTGACTCTTTCAAGCTGCAAATCGCCGCAAACATCTAGAGGCAAAAGTCATGTTGTGTATTCCAGCCTTAAGGCTTTCAAGCTTCAAAAAGGACACAAAAGCATAAAAGTGTAATTCTTCAGAATAATGATCATACTTTATTGCATGGCTTCAGAAGATTTGAAATGGATTTGAAATCATATGGACCACTTTTGTAATACTATTATCGTGCTTTTGTGTCCTTTTTGAAGTTTTGAACCAAATTCATTGTGTGGAAAAGAATGACTAGTACAATTCTTTAAAATTTGTCATTTTATGTTCGACGGAAGAAAGAAAGTCATATGAGATTGAACACATAAGAGCGACTAAATCATGGCAGAATGTTAATTTTTTCTGTGAACTCTGAGCCTCAACTCGTACCGGCATCACAGAGAGTCTATTTTTATTATCTATGTTTATTGGAAAATTGTAGTTTTCAGCTACAGGACTGATAAAATATTCATATAGTAATGACTAGTGGTCGACCGATATTAGTTTTTTGACTGCCGATATTTTGGAAAGCACGATGGCCGATATAAAGCTGATATAATTGTATTTATTTTTATTAATATTTAAGAAATTTTAAATCATTTGAAAATGGATTAAAAAAATAAATGTGTACTTTAGATGACAATGTATTTTTTCATAAATAAATATTTAATACAAATACAATTAAAATAAAGTAAACACTGTAACCAACAGGGTTCTCAGTAATCTGGGAAGTTTGTGTGCATTGGGAATCATATTTTTTAAAATAAAGCCAAGGTAACAGTCATTTTTACATGTAGCACATGACGAATGACATGAATATGGCAGTGGGCAAATGGATAAAGCGCAGCATAGTTTGAAATCACGAGTTTAAAGTTTGTCGATCGCGCATCTCCAGTGAGGTTAAACTCTCCTCCTGTCCGTATTCAATTCGTTCGGACCAACCGTCACGCAGAGAACATGTGATCATGCAGGATACAAATGCACACTTTACAAGATCTCACAGCTGGATTCGACTAAGTTTGCACGGTTTGTGAAATGAAATGTTCATTAGTCATTCAAAGATTTGTTTAAATGATATAAATGCGATTTAAATGATATAATACGACTTATACGCCTTGGTGATATATCGGTCGACCACTAGTAATGACCAAGTTTAAATTCTCTCCTTGCAGTATTATATGGATTGTAATGCACTGTAAGACATTGCCTTAATGTAAAACAAAGCCTTGTGAAAACTCACATAAAAGCAAATCCCTTACAGCCAGGCTCTAATCCTTGATCTGATGGCATAACACAACCCTGAAATTATGTGCTTTGTGTTTGTCCAATGGTAATGTAAAGATTAAACATTGAAGTTTTGTTTTTACAGGAATTCAGAGAGGCCATTCTTGCTCTTCTTCTCATTCCTCCAAGTCCACACTGGACTATTTGCCTCTCCTCTCTTCAGGGGAAGAAGTCAGCATGGCCTCTATGGTGATGCTGTCATGGAGGTAGACTGGAGTGTAGGTACTGAATTACTTTTGACTTGTCATGTTAATAATCTAAATATGCTGATATTTAAAAGCAAGTACAATAAAGGGCCTTTTGGTTTTACAGGGAAAGTCTTGTTAATAAGCTATTATCTAAAACTGTACTACTTGTTTCTGCTGTTTTGCCTTTAATTAAGGTATACTTATCATATTTGCTACATTTATTTTTTGAGGCAACTGAGCCCAGAAAGAATTCATCATAAACCAACGAGTGTGTCTCTTAAAAGGGCACAATGAATGGTTTCTAAAAATATCTATGGAAAAAATCTAATAATAAATGAGTATAGTTACCACATAAATGCAAAAGTGACATTGTTTATAGCACTGAATGCATACTGTAATCACTGTTTTAAAGCAAAGGACAGTTCTCTTAGTCATACTTGAGTGTTCGGGAGAATAAGCAGAAGGAATGAATTGATTTTTCTGTCTGTTGCAAACCGCAAACTGGTAACCAGATAATTGGATTGTGCATTTTAAGTTTTGGCGGTAACAAGATATTTTAAAGAAATGTATGTCAAGGCACAATTTATTTGTCTTGCATTTTTCAAGCATTAAAGCATAAGCTTTTAGGTACAATGTTTTTTTAGGATCACGACTAACAATCAGTCAAGTGCGTTAAAACGTTTGACTGGTAAATGTTGGTTTTTGACACAGGTGAATTGCAGAAACGAATTAGTGTAACATCATAGACTAGATTTGCATTTCCTAAAGGAAACATAATAATAGTTCACCCAGAAATTACAATTCTGTCATCATTTACTCATCCTCCTCATTTCATTCCAAACCTGCATGAATTTCGGTCTTGAGAAATGTAATCAAAATGGCTTAGTTACCAAAATGTGATCTCTTGTGTTGTGCAGAAGAAGGAAACATACTGTTTGGAATGACATGAGGGTAAATTATGACAGAATTGGCTTTTTTGGGGTGAACTGTCCCTTTAAATATTGAAAAAAATGCCATTTACAATTAAAGAAGAGAATAAGCCACTAGATCTGCAGACAGTCACAACTAAAGACAATGTAATCGAGTGTAATCAGAGCACTCTTTATTTCTCTATATTTCTGCTTGTTGGGCCTTGATTGTTTATATAAAAGTGTGTGTTTCGTGTAAACGAACTGCAAAAGTTTCTACCGTAGTGTTATGGATCTAAACAAATCCCAAATGAGAATTTTGGTAAAAATCAATACAGTACTGCATTGCACTGGAAGATTTTCCAGTAGTTATAGCCAAATGTTGCACCAGGTTGGTTTTAGTATTTTAATATTGATCTAATTGTCAATCTGACTTCTCACAGTCTTGTTGCCGTTCTTAGGTCAGATCATGCAGACTTTGGAGTGCTTAAACTTGAAGGAAAACACACTGGTGTACATGACTTCAGATCAGGGGCCTCACCTGGAAGAGATTTCCATCAATGGAGAGATGCATGGGGGTTATAGCGGCATATACAAAGGTATTCTGTCCTGAGAGCTACCAACCCTCGTGGACAAAGTATCACATTTCAGCATTATTTTCAGTTTTAAATATGCAACAATATGTAACAATAGTAACAATATGCAATTTCACATCCTTTGCTGTCTCTCGAGCAGCTGGCAAGTCAACTAACTGGGAAGGTGGGATTCGGATACCGGGGATTCTTCATTGGCCAGGTGTCTTACCTGCAGGGAAGGTCATTGATGAGCCCACTAGCAACATGGATATTTTCCCCACGGTGCTGAATTTAGCTGGTGCTTCCATACCCAGCGACAGGTGAGAACCTGTCACCTAGCAACAAGATATGCCAGTCAAAGATTTGGTTACTGAGACAACAGATGCAGATACAATAGATGCAACTAATCTGGAGGTAGATTGAAATATTGGGATATACAGAAGTCAGTAGATTAGAATTTGTTTTCAGGCACTTTGTAAGATGAACGTATCCCCGGTAGCTCATTAGTATAGAATAATGATGTTTTGTATTATGGTTACTCATACTGCTAAATAGACTCAATAACTAGGCTAGTAATCGCAGTGCATTACCACTTGTTTCCATTACAGAGTCATTGATGGTCATGATCTCTTGCCTCTGTTGCAAGGGCAAGTGGAGCGTTCTGAACATGAATTTATGTTTCATTACTGCAATGCCCAGCTGAATGCTGTCAGATGGCACCCACCTAACAGTGAGTGCTAAATTTAATACACTCTTATGACGGGTTGTAACTGACAATTATTTTGTAAAACTTTACAATAAACTTCCATAGTTAAAGGAATAGTTCACCCAAAATGAAAATTTTGTCATCATTTACTCACTCTCATGTCATTCCAAACCTGTATGAGTTTCTTTTTTATGTTGAACATAGAAGATATTTTGAAGTATGCTGGTAATCAAACAGTTGATGGTCCCCATTGACTTCCATTGCATTTCTTTCCATACTCTGGAAGTCAAAAGGGGCCAACAACTGTTTGGTTCTTCAAAATATCTTCTTTCACATGTGTTCAGCATAAGAAAGAAAAATAAACTTATATGGAACAACATGAGGGTGAGTAAATGTCGACAATATTTATTTTTGGGTAAACTATTCATTAGTTAACATTGACTAACATAGTTAATGTTAATTTAAACATGTACTTATCAAAACTTGTATCTGTTTATATTATTTAAAGGGGTTATATGATGCGATTTAAATTTTTCCTTTCTCTTTGGAGTGTTACAAGCTCTTGGTGCATAAAGAAGATCTGTAAAGTTGAAAAGACTAAAGTCTCAAATCCAAAGAGATATTCTTTATAAAAGTTAAGAGTCAACCACACCTACCTAAAACGGCTCGTTCTAACACGCCCCCACATGTCTACGTCACTATGTGGGAAGATTTGCA